CAGGTTGAGCTAGATACCAGTGCTTAAAATTCTTCCAGGGTTAGGAAAACAGTGACAAGGAACTGCAAATTAAAATTTTAACTAAATCTACCAACCTTTTTCAACCTTACCCCCAAAAATAAAACCTGCTGCCAGTGAGTCAATTTTGACTCATAGCAACCCTATAGGACCCTATAGGACAGGGTAGAACTGCCCCCACAGGCTTTCCAAGGCTGTAATCTTTGTGGAAGCAGACTGCCTCATCTTTCTTCCACAGTGCAGGTGGTGGTTTTGAACCACCAACTTTTAAGTTAGCAGCCAAGTGCTTAACCACTGCACTATCAGGGCTCCTTTTTTTTTTTAACATTAGCCACAAAAAATAGAGTACTCTCAAATCACTTATTATAAATTTCTAGGTTTGCTTATACAATTTTCTCAACTGCCATGTGGTGATTATTTCAAACAAATGAAAATGTTTATTCTGAGTGTTTTAAGATAAGTAAATAGTAATATTAAAAGTCACCATTGTCATTTGAAACTGGAGTAACTGAAATAAGCTCCCATCGCAGAGAGCAGCCAGGGCTCCGGTACCTAGCATTAAATTCAGGATTCACTGCTTCACACCAGCTTTCTTATTTAACCCTGAAATGATTATGTTTTAAAAGTGTACATTAAATAACCTTATTAAGCATAATATTGCAGTACTAAAAAGGAAATAATGAATGTCAGTAATATCAAAAAACCAAAACCAAACCCACTGCCAATGAGTTGATTCTGACTCATAGTGACCCCCATTGGGTTTCCAAGGTGGTAAATCTTTACAGAAGTAAATTGCCTCATCTTCCTTCCACAGAGTGGCTGGTGGGTTTGAATGCCTTAAGTACTGTGCCACCAAAGCTATAGTAATATTAAAGCTATAGCTCTCAGTAATATTAAGCATTGTCAAATTAATTGACACACATTTAGTGTCTATAATTATAATAAGCATTCAGTTCAATCTAGTATTTTCAAAACACACACATATATACATATATATGTATGTATTAAAAAAAAAACACTGCCATTGAGTCTATTTCAACTCATAGCAACCCCCATTGGATTTCCAAGGTAGTATCTTTACAGAAGTAAATTGCCCCATATGTCTTTTGTGGAGTAGCTAGTGGGTTTGAACCTCTAACCTTCTGGTTAGCGCTCTAATGTCTTAGACACTGCACCACCAGAGCTCCTTGTATGTATGTGTATGTAAAATAAAACAATAGAATATGTTGAAGTAGGGTCAGTTTTAGTATTTGCATATTGTAGCTAATTAACAACACTGTAACATCATCCTAAGGGAAACATCCACTGGCAACTTATTCATTATCTTCTATTATTGTGTATCATATTAAAATGACAGGCATCTTACAATATACAAGTCATCAAAATTTCAACTATTAGAACTAAAGGCAATTTAGCTAAAACTGGTTCTAGTTTCATGATGAGTGAAATTTATCCAAAGGGGACATTGGCTTACAGTATTTCTTCAATATCTTCCTTGAGTTTAATGGCACAAAGATTACATGTAAGAGAGCAATAAATTAATTTTACTAAGTACATAAAAGACAAGGCCAGCTGCTCCTGAAATGAGCGCAAACTCTGCATTCAACAATGAAAATATAATTATGTTTGTAATAAAATGTGAGAGGAAGTTGCAGATCTGGGTGCTGTTTCAGAAATAAATCACCCATCCTCCTTGTGAGCTGTGCAATTTGATAAATTATCCTTGAATGAAATGTTATCTGAGCCCCCATTTAATAAGCATGTTTGAGCTTTCAAATTAGCATGTAAATAAATGTATAGCTATAAAGTTGTTGGTATGCCAATTGATTTCCTGAAGGTTCATCTCACTAAAGATCCCTTACTAAATATATAATCCTATGAAACAATCTAGTAAGGAGCTCTGGTTGTGTAGTGGTTAAAGCATTTGGCTACTAATGAGAAGGTTGGCAGTTCAAAACTACCAGCCACTCTGTGGGAGGAAGATGAGGCAGTTTGCTTCTGTAAAAATTTGCAGTTTTGGAAACCCTATGGGGCAGTTCTTGGAAACCCTATGGGACAGTTCTACTTTGTCCTATAGGGTCACTGTGAGTCAGAATTGAATCATGTTTTTTTTTCTTTTTTTTCAGCATGGGAGGGGTATTTTAAAGAAATTATTTAGATTCTTTCCCATTGGAATGTACTACATTTTCAACTATGAAGGTCTAGTATTTCTACTTATTATTGCATTACAGTTAGAATGACACACATATCCAAATTTAATCAACCCTATCTTAATAACAAAGTGCACCGATATCAGCACATTTATGTTTTATTTTAGTATTGTCTTTCCGGTGTAACATAAGGCTTAACAGGTGATTTTTTTTTTTTTTTTTAATTAAAGTATATACAATCCTTGGGTGGCACAAAGAGTTTGCACTCAACTACTATCTTACAGGTTGGCAGTTTGAATCTGCCCAGCTGCTCCATGCAAGAAAGACCTGGCAATCTGCTTTTATAAACATTACAGCCAAGAAAACCCTATGGAACATTTCTGTTCTGACACACATGCCATGGTCATGAGTCAGAACTGACTCAATGGCAGTGAGATGTACTTATTAAATCAAAGCAGCAGTGCATTCAACAATTAGCTGTGAATTTAAAATTGGTATTGTCCCAACTACTTCTTGATAATCATAGAAATGGAAGGTACTTTACTATCATGTAACTTAAAACTGCTGTCTTTAAAGATACAATAGTGAAGGGGTGGGCTTTTACATGACTTGTCCAGGCCCATCATTTGTAAGAGGCAGAGTTGGCCCAGATCACCCCTGTCTTGGCCCAGGTATCTTCCATCACGACCACTCCAGAGGGCATTCTTGGCTCAGTCATCTATCCCGTTTGTCTCTGAGTAATTTATATTATTATGCTCTGGAGTAGTTAAGAATTTAGAGCTCAGCCACAGCTTTCATGTAGGAAAAACATCCTTCGAGGTAAAAGTTCATCTCTAAGAACCATTTACTGACAAGTCAATTCCAACTGCAGGGGACCCCATGTGCACAACAGTAGAACTCCGTAGGGTTTTCAGAGGCTGGATTTTCAGAAGTCCATCACCAGGCCTTTCTTCTGATGTTCCTCTGGGTAGACTCAAGCCTCCAACCATCTGGTTAGCAGCTGAGCACATTAACTGTTTGCACCACCCAGAGACTCCTTGCCTGCAAGAGAAGTGATGAAATGGTAGTTAGGACACCACTTAGTGAACTTGACAAGCAATCTTGTATGATCCTAAGTTCAATTGCCTATCCACTCAGCTCAGGTTTCAAGTTGCCTGTGTACTGACTTTCCACATATTCTGAAACAGAAATCCAAGGAGCTTTTAGGACATTTGATGTTCACATTTAGAGGACAGATACCAGCACATGGACAGACTGGTAGGACAGTGCAATGCTTGATGCTAGGGCTTTCCTAGAACTCACATGAACGGTGCCTTTTTCATGCACAGTTGACTCTATCTAAGCTGATTGACACCTTTGGGGGTCGTCTTTCAACTGACTCATAATTTTTCTCACTCTTGAAAAAGGTTTCTATACACCCAGTATTCTCTAGTTAAAGCTGAAAATTCAACTCATCATATTTACACAATAAAAAAAAATCCATTCTGCCTTGTTTTTAATTGCAAATTCTACTCAAGGGACTAGTTCGCCTGCTTAGGAGGCAGCCCTGTGCCTTCTACTAGAGAAGCAAGTGCAGTCAATTATGGTAATGAAATGTCAATAAATATAAAAATTTAATACAGTCTGCTCTGAGTGAGTGGCAGATGAGGACTTGCCTCCCAGACAAATTTGCTGCTGCTGCAAATATTAAATGCACCTAAAAGAGTATCTGGTTGCCTGAGAGCTCGCCAGTCAAAGAAGGATGGGAGAGTTAGGTACCAACTGGGCTTTCCCATTATGCAGCAATCGCAGCAGCAGAACCAGTGCTATCACTGACAGCCATCCCGACATCTTAACTTATGATTATAAATTGAACTTATGTCCCCATGAATAATCTAAGATTGGTGCCTCACAGTGCTTTGCTTTTTTTTTTTTTTTTTTAATGCAAGAAAAAATCCTTTATTTTTCAGACCAAGGAATTATATTTCTTATCAGTTAGGTCCTTGCTGTCTTTAGAGAGAACAGTATTAATAATCATTTGAAAATAAGTAGTGGTCTTATGTTGTGGCTTTTTAGGAAGCAGCAAACTAAACAAGAATAATTTAAATGTGATTCTTTTGTCATCCATTAGCATGCAGTTTTGAACCATGAATACTTTAAAATATAATCCCTTAATCCAAATAGAAATATCTTGGCCTTCATTTTCTTCATATGTTGCTTAATATCACTGTGCACATACAGAACACTTTCCTAGACTGACTTTTTTATGGCTGGTACACTTTTCTTTGGAGTCCCTGAGTAGTGCAAATGGTTAACACACTCAACTGCTAACCATAAAGTTGGAGGATCGAGTCCACACAGAGGCACCTTGGAGAAAAGGCCTCACAATCTATTTCCAAAAACTCTGCCATTAGAAACCCTATGGAGCACAGTTCAACTCTGACACATGAGTTGAAATAGACTTGATAGCAACTGTTTTGGGGTTTTTTTTTTTTTTTGGCAGGAATGTGGGGGAGAAGGGATGCAAGCTTTTCTTTAAAGATATTCATGAAAGCTAAAACTTTGAACCTTATGTGGTAATAAAATTCATAAGAGAAAAAGGTATGTATTCCTACAAAATTTAGGTGGTCTAAACCTGTTCTTTACAAGGCTTATAAAAATGATTAGATCTAGCAGAACAATTGTGATACATTTCATAACAATAGAATGTGTCTCCACTTCCATGGAAAAATCTCCTCTGTTATCAATTTTTGGTTTTAACTGGAATCAAATTTTAGCCACAATTTTTAAAAACCTCAAGAGAAATGTATTTCTGATTCTGGCAGTCATGAAGATTGTGTTTTTGTGTTGCAGGTGGACTATTCCATAATAGCATCCCAAGCTGGGGCCACCCTCAACAACCTCATGAGTCATGCACAGGATTTAGTGGCAAAGCTTCGTTCACTACAGTTTGATCAACGAGAGTTTGTGTGTCTGAAATTCTTGGTGCTCTTTAGTTTAGGTAAGAAATCCTTTTATTCACACTATGTGCAACCAAAGATTCCTAAAAGATGTCAAACTTTGAATGTCCTGAAGTTAATACCATGTAAGTAACACACATCATGCACCTAAGAAAATAATGTATGAGGAAGTTGTACAGTTGGTAAAAGTGTATAATGGGTGCATTTTTGCATAAAAATGCTTTGTCTGTTTTTGTTCTCTCAAGATTATGCCCTTCCTTTCAAATTGTGAAAGCTTCGAACATGAGTCTGTTTTCAGACAATAGCCCAATAGTTGATGAGTTGGGAGTATGGAAAAGGAGTTATTAGATTGTAGCCTGGATTTTCTTTCATATGGAGGTGAGCAGCAGTCCCCTAAAGTCTTGACAGAGGCTTAATGGAGATAGTTGAGGAAAGAGATATATATCAAATTTTAGCCATCTTCTACCATTGATTGCTTCTCTGTGGCTTTTGTTTTGTCCTGCTACCTACTACTGTTTTTATTCATGAAAATGTAGATAGTAATTGAAAACCTGCTTCTTAAATCTCTATCGGGATTAACTCAAGAATGTCTATAATCAGATGCACAACTATGCAAGTGTAAAAGATGATGGTTGTCAAGCGGAAAGGATGCTTCTCCAGGAAAGCTTTGGAGAAGAAAGATAACTATGCAAGACAGATTAGCTGAATCAAGGTTCTCAATGAATCAGTTGAGAAAAATCACCACTGCTTAGAATGAAAAAGGGATTAAGGAGATGGATTTTTATTGACTTCAAAGGAACGGATTTTTCTGCCTGTCCCTTACTTGATTTCTGCATTTTACTGGCTTAATAAAGCCAACTTAAATAAACTTTTTGCCAAGTCCATTTATTACTTATTGGCAGAGAGCTGAGGGAGGCAACTTCCCTTGAATGAAAAAAATGCAGAAATCAGATTTACCAACATATGTTTTTTCTTTAGTCTTCAGTTATAGGATAGTTGTGAATTCATATTCTCCGAAATAAAACAAACTGCAAAGTAAAACAGATGTGTCTACTCTCCAAATTTGGTGCTTTCGTTGCAAGATTCTTCTTGACAGCACCACACAACTGTTGCTAATAAAGGAATAGTCTGAAGTAATATAACTGGAGTTAATTTCTCACATGTAGTCAACATTTAAAATGAAAAAGAGCATTTTCATATTTTGGAAAATGTGATAAATATAGTAAAAAGAAATGTTACTGAAAATTTAAAAAGACAACAGAATTTTATAGATGGAGTGTTCAAAGGTTTACAATGCCAGGACTGGATCTGCATTAACCACAATAAGTAGGAAAGCCCTGTCAAAGTCTTCATCCCTTACCCAAGTACACATTTTATAAAGTCACACAGAAGATAGCATTGGCTTGCTTGCTGTAATCTCACAAATTATTCTGGCTTATATCTGGGAAGATCTTAGTCTTTTTAACTAGTACATTTGATCAGTAATTAAATGAAAATGTGATAATATATGTATAGAAACCTTATAACATCTTACTGATAAAATATTTAAAGAGAGTTATCTCACTTCAATGGTATTTTAAATTAGTTGAATAACTGTATTACATTTGAAGATGTACACATTAACCACAAGCCATCTTTGCTTTTCATCACTTTTATCTTTCCTTCAAATGTTTTGACTCATTTTACAAAATTATATTCTCTGCCAGTTCTATTGGGAGGGGAGAACTTTCTGAAGTGCTTTCAACTTTTGGTCCTCACAGAATTATCTTCCTGAACAATTGGGCCATGTATTTACCAGAACCTCAGTCACACACACTCTTTCTTTTTTAATGAGTATGTCTACTGTTGCAAGAGCCTAAGGCATCAGTGAATAGCTAGCTTACAGGACCCTTATAACCATGTCTGTCTGTTGTTTAAGAAAGAAAGGAAACATGGCTTTCAGATTAGAGGTAGATAGAATGTGGCCAAGAATTTATTTTTAAAGAAGGATAAAGAAAGAAACTGGCAGTAAAGTTTAGATGCATTCTATTTCATGTAAATGGAATTGTTTTCCTCCACAAAATCAATGGATAATCAATCTTTTTTCATTTTTTACAATTATTTTGAGATTTGGATAATCAATCCTTTGGTTCCCAAGCTAGCCCCTAAACACCTATTTTACCTGTGACAATAATGAAATCATAACAGAAACACCTTTCAAGCCCAAATCCTGAGCTAGTACAGAAGGTCCCAAAGCTTTAGGAGTTTGAGCCCTGAGTCTGAAACTCGATACATGCTGTGCCTGGCTTAACCCAACCTTGTTCCTTTCTGAGTCTGGAGAAAAATAAGGATATTGTGGATTGGACTGTGTTGGGAGACAGCCATAGCAATATTCTTATGTGAGACACAAGAATGTTTTCCTCATAGATTACGAGAGGAAGTGGAGTGTGAGCCTAGAAATGGATCTAGGGTGTGGCCAGTATGGAACATGCCCTAAGTACCACTTGGGGGATAGAAATGAGCAATTTCTATTCACCAATGCAGTTTCCATTGCCAGCTGTGAGAGATTATTCAACAATTTAAAACTTACTGCCATAGGCACTACTTTCCATAGACACCCCTCTGTATGAACCCAAGCTGATGCAACAGTCCAACTCAAAAGGACAGCCGGTGCAAAAGCAAGGAGGTTGGAGGGAGCAAGTGAGCTCAGAGAACTGTTAGTGGATCACTATGGTCTGAGGGAAGCAGCGGGTACCATTGACGAGGTAGGCAGAGCCTGGTCATGGAAGGCCTCAGGCATAATCATTCAGCACTTACTGAGCCCTTAGTATGTGCCAGGCACTGAGGATATAGTGATAAGCAAAAATAAGCACCAGAGTCTTTATTCTGTATGCAATTAGGAAGTATAAACCCATTGCCATCAAGTCAGTTCCAGCTCATAGTGACCCTAATTGCCCCATAGGGTTTCCAAGGCTGTGATCTTTATGGAAGCAGACTGTCACTTCTTTCTTCTGTAGAGTGGCTGGTGGATTCAAACTGCCAACCTTTCAGTTAGTCGCCAGGGGCTTAACCATTGTGATAGCACTGTTTCTTTTTAGAAAGTTTAGCCAGAGCTTTAAAGGGGGTGAGATAAGTTGTTTTGCCTTTTGGAAACATGATTGTAGTGGTGATGCAGAAAGTGTATGGAGGCAAAGCTGGAAACTGCAGGTTCAAGGTGGTTTTAATATGTCAGACAATACATATGAAGGACAAAAGTGTTAAAGTGGGAATGAGATGGGGAGATGAACAAGTTAGAGAATACAAGCAACAGGATGTGGTAAAGTTGAGAGGAAGAAATCTGGAGTAAGTCTCAGGTTTCTGGATGCTTTAACCAGAACAGAAAAATCTATGGCAGCAGTTGCTGTTCAGTTAGGTCAAAGTATATTTCAATAACAACATTCCTCTCCTAAAAGGAATTCTTCACTAAAGCTGATTCCATGAAAAGACTATGATAGGAGACTTTAAAAAAAAAAAAAAAAAAGTACAGATGAATATAATTCTTCCTGACTGCTGCCTAATTTTCCCTCAAATACTGTCTGTGTTGATCCAAAAAACAACATTTGGTCAAAAAAAAAAAAAAAAAAAAGAAAGAAAGAAAAGTGAAAAATACCCTCTCAGGATGTTTCTGTGTGTGTGATATAATAGATTCCGAAGATCCAGTCAACTGCTGCTAGTTGCAATGTTTTCTTTAAATCCTGTTAAATTATTGTTTTGTTTTGTTTTGCCTAACTACGATAATGTAATTTGAACCCAGTGATAACTTGGCAGGTAAGGAGATATTCTAAGCTGATCCACTAAGTTGATGACCTTGTTGTTGTTGTTGTTGTTGTATGCCGTCGAGTCAGCCCCTACTCATAGCGACCCCTCCTTGGGTTTCCAAGGCAGTATCACTACAGAAGTAGATTGCCCCACCTTCCTTCCGAGGAGTGGCTGGTGGGTTTGAACCGCCAGCCGTCTGGTTAGCAGTCAAGTGCAAGTGCCTTAGGCACTATGCTACCAGAGCTCCTAGAGAAGCTAAAATAAAATGTTAATGTTTCTTTAGGTTTATATCCCCATTTCCTTCTAAAAAGCAGTCGTAGTGACTGATGAAAAGAAATTTACTGTCTGTCACCAACCAATGTAGAAATTAACCCACAGCGGTCATGACCCTCAAATAATACCCTCATGGCATGTGTTCCAAAAACAAGTAGAATTCCCACAAATTTTATCTCCTGAAAAGAAATGCAGAACTGAGAAGGGATCACCTGGTTTTTTAACTACAACATCCTGAATAAATGTCATTACACATTCAAGCCCATCAGGAATACTATGAGGCTTGAGTGCTCAAAGCAACATGTAGCTAGCATCTGCCAGCTGAACATTACTCTGGCCTTTGGATTTTCTTAGCCCGGAGACTCAATGGCTGGATGCTGCTGGATTCTTGCTATATGCCAGGTGGTGATAGAAAGTACCAGAGGCATATTACATCCCATTTTCCCTAATGAATGTCCTTGATTTGTTTAAAATTATTCTCTTCTCTGACCAGCTAATATTTCTGAAACCACTTCCTATATTCAGCTGAGTTGAAGAGATTATTATTCTCATTGAGGGATTTCCCCCAGCTTAAAAAGTGGCTAATATTAGCTTCTAGTCTCTTAAAGTTTAGGTTCTGTAAGTCCACTATAGGAGTTCTGGTGATGCAGTGTTTGAAACATTTGACTGCTAACCAAAAGGTCAGTGTTTCAAACCCACTGACTGCTCCATGGGAGAAAGATGAAGCAGTCTGCTTCTGTAAAGATTTACAGGCTTGGGAACCCAATGGGGGAGTTCTACTCTATCCTATCGGGTTGCTATGATTGCAGTGAGTTTACGTCCACGGTGGTGTAGTGCCTAAGGCATCCGACTGCTAACCAGAAGGCTGGTGGTTCAAACCCACCAGCCACTCCTTTGGAAGGAAGGTTGGGCAATCTACTTCCATAGTGATATTGCCTCAGAAGCCCAAGGAGGGATCTCTATGAGTTGGGTCAACTCGACGGCACATAAC